TTTTGATATAGTGTCTTGCTGTGCAGTTCAGGCTGGCCTTGAGCTCACTTTGTAGCCCAGGCTGATGTTGAATTCCCAATGATCCTCCTGCCTCAGCCTCCCAAGTGCTGGGATTAGAGACATATACCACCATTCCCAGCTGAAATAATTTTAAAATTAAGCTTTGGGTATTTGTATTTATTGTTTGGCCTAGAAGAGATTACGGCACTGTAACCTCATCTTTGAAAATAACCGCCACAATTTTGCAAGTGTTAGTTGGAAAGAATATTTAAGCCTCCTGTTTTACAGATTGTGAACATGTTTGCTTACATAAACAAATTATGGCTGAAGCTGATACCTGTGCCAGAAAGCATACTGATTATTAGTGTCATAACTTCTTCCTACACCCTGTGGTTATTTACACCTCCTACACTCATTTTAATAGTTGTACTGGAGATTGAATTCAGGGCTTTGTGCATGTTAGGCAAACACCCTACCACTGAGCTATATTCCCAGCCTGAGTAACTCATATTTTGTGTGGCCATTCTATTTAGGACACTTAAAAATTGTTTTGGTTGGTATTTGACTTTAAGAATAGAGAAATCAGAAACTTGATTGTATCTATTTTTGTATGTCCATCCTTGAACATTGTTCCTGGTTCATATAGGTACTTGATAAGTGTGTATCAAATGGATATTGATAAAAAATATTAATTTAATCCTGGAGATGTATAAATTAAAAAAAAATGCTCCCTTGGGGGCATCCAAGTAGAAGTTGGCTCCACATTCTGGAACAGAAGTATGAATGAGACTTGCCTGTCTTTCTTAGGCTTCTCATGTAACACATTTACTACATAGTGAGACCCTGTCTCAAAAAATAAACAAAAAAGTAAACCAAAGTGTGTGCTACATTTGTGGGTGGGGTGACTTAGAAGCTTTCATTGTGAAGTGGAGATAGATATGTGCCTGCTAGGATTTCATGATAAAAGCTAAAAAGAATTCTGCAGGTATTAAAGTTTAATTATGAATTATTTTAAAAGGGTTTTTCCTTTACTGTTGCTCCTTCAGGGAGAGTGCAGTCTTTCTGGATGAGAGCTCTATCTTGCTCCATCCTGTTCTACCACAAGATTTTGGAAATGCCTACTTACTGTAGATCTTAGTTAAGATTCTCAGATATTTGCAGCACATGATGCCCCTACATGTCTCAGATTATTTTCCCCAGCATCATTTGTTCAAAAGAAATAACTGGTATTTTTTAAGTCCAGGCAATAGTTGATGAGTATTTATTTTCTGGCAATTTGGTAGTTGAGGAAATGATATACCTCTAGATTCAAAGCTGCAATTTTTTATTTTTTATTTTATTTTTGGTTTCTTGAGACAGGGTCTCATAGTTCAAGCTGGTTTTGAACTATGTGGCCCGGCTTGGTCTCAAACTCACAGCAATTCTCTTGTCTGAGCCTCCTGAGTGCTCAGATTATAGGTATGTGCCACCATGGCTGCTTTCTTTCTATGCTGGAGATCAGACTCAGTGTCTTGTGCATGCAAGCAATTTACCACTGAGCTACATTTCTCTCTTTCTCTCTCTCTCTCTCTCTCTCTCTCTCTCTCTCTCTCTCTCTCTCTCTCTCTCATTGTTTAGACAGAATCTTGCTATGTAGTTCAGGATAGCCTTGAGCTCACTTTGTAGTCCATGCTGGCTTCAAACTCATGGTAGTCCTCTTGCCTCAGTCTGAGTGCTGAGCTTACATACCCGGTTTATTTAATTCGTAAGTACTTATAACTAGGGTGGGTGTACCTGCCTGTTGGTCATTGTACAGTTTCTCATTTCTTGATGATGAAATGAGGACACTTCATCATTTCTTTTTATACATTCATTTTCATGTGATACAGTACTTTAGTACTTTTTTAGGAGGAGGGATCTCCTGGAGACTGAACATGGGGCTTTCAGACTAAACTACATCCTCAGTACATTTTATTTTTCATTTTGAGATAGGGTCTTTCTGAGTTGCCCAGACTGGCCTGGAACTTGTATCCTGCCTCAGCCTCATGAGCAGCACAGATTACAGGCATGTGCCACTGTACCTTGCTGATGCTTGTTTGTATTTTTATTTATTTGGTACAGAGTCTGCAGGGTCTCACTACACAGATCAGACTTACAGTGACCCTCCTGTTTTCAGCCTCCCAAGTGCTGGGATTACAAGTTCATGCCCAGTCTCAGTTTTCTCAGCATGCCCTGGGGTTGGGGCCAGCACACACTCTGGGGATCAAACACCCAAAACACCCGGTCCCTGAGCCTGTCTAAGCAGGCACTTTAGTCTGCTGACCTATCTGGCTGTCCCCCCTCTTTTTATCATAGCAGCTGCCCACCAAAAAAATCCATGTTATAAAGATATAATATCATTAGAAAGAATGTGTTATGATCTAAAATTGAAACTGAGTTACTTTGAGCTGGTAGTTCAAATGATATCTAACAGAATTCCTGTGTTTCCTTTAAAAACTTAAATTTTGGGCACTTGT